TGGGAGTCCCAGGAGTTTGTCAGGGGACAGGTAGGGGAGGGGGGGCCCGGGGGAAAGTTGGGGGGGCTTAGGAGGGGGCAATTGGGGACAAGGAGAAGGGAGGCTTAGATAGGGGGTGGGATCCTGGGGGGCAGTTGGGGCAGGGGTCCCAGGAGGGGGTGATCAGGGGACAGGGAGCAGGAGGAGTTGGATGGGTTGGGGTTTCTGTGGGGGGCAGTTGGAGGGAGTAGATGGGGGCAGGGTGGGGCTACCCTCCCTCCCCGTGGAGTGTCCTATTTTTTGAATGTTAAAATATGGTATCCCTACTCACAGTGCAGCTCTCCAATCACTGCAGCATGAGGTCTCAGCTACCTCACTCCCTCCCCGTCTTTCCTGTTGGTAGTGTCCAAGGGAATGCTGGGAAATGTAGTTCTTTCCCTGCTCCAGGGCTGGCTCTATAGGCAGGGAGCTAACCAAGGAACTACAGCTCCCAGGGCCCCCTGTTGGTTCTCAGCTCTCATGCTGGATCCCTGCCGCCCCTGCAAATGGGCTGCCCCAAGCACGTTCTTGCTTTGCTGGTGCCTAGAGCCGCCCCTGTCTATAACACTGATAGAGAGATATGCACAGCTGTTTTCTCCCCCAGGTATTAATTACTTACTCTGGGTTAATTAATAAGCCAAAAATGATTTTATTAAGTATAAAAAGTTGGATTTAAGTGGTTCCAAGTAATAACAGACAGAACAAAGTAAGTTACCAAGCAAAATAAAACAAAACACGCAAGTCTAAGCCTAATACAGTAGGAAACTGATTATAGATGAAATCTCACCCCCACAGATGTTCCAATAAGCTTCTTTCACAGAATGGACACCCTCCTAGTCTGGGTCCAGCAATTACTCATATCCTCATAGTTACTCTCTTTTGTTCCAGTTTCTTTCAGGCATCTCTTTGGTGTGGAGAGGCCATCTCTTCTTGAGCCAGCTGAAGACAAAATGGAGAGGCTTCCAGGGCCTTTTATATTCTCTCTCTTGTGGGTGGAAACCCCTTTGTTCTTCTGTGCAAAGTCACAGCAACAAGATGGAGTTTGTAGCCACCTGGGCAAGTCACATGTCCATGAATGATTCAGCTTTTTGCAGGCCGATGCCATTGTTTACATGTTAGTTTGAACGTTCCCAGGAAAGCTCAGATGTGGATTGGCATCTCCCAAAGTCCATTGTTAGTTAAGTGTTTCTTGATTGGGCACTTACTGAAAATAGTTCTTTCTCAAGAAGCTGACCAAATGCTTCACTGAGGCTACTTAGAATCAAACACATTGAGATACAAGTACATAGCAAATATTTATAACTTCAAATGCAAAAATGATACACACATACAGACAGTATAATCATAAGCAGCAAACTACAACATTTCCATAGACACCCCACTTGACCTCCTCTGTACAAGACCTGGTGCAAACATAGGACCCTGATTGCAACAATGATCTAAATGGTGACATTTCATGTCAATAACATCATAGTCAGATCCCTGTAGGAAGATCTGTCTATTTAGCTAAGCTGATTATTGTGGTACCTGAGTCTCTGTTTCCTTTGTACCTGATTCTGAAATCCAAAGAATGGAGTAGACATCAGGACTGGGATTTTCAATGAGACCTGTAGCCAGCTGCAGTTCTGGAGCACACCCCTTCATGGTTTGGCACTGCAGTCAACCTGCCTTAGTTTCCTTCCTGGGTTTTCAATGACTCTCTTGGCCTTCAGCACAGCTCTGTTGCTGAGGTGACTCAGCTCTCTAGCTAAACCTTCTGCCCTACCCTTTTGGGTCCAATCAAAATCCAAAGGAAAACACCAATCTACCATCCTAAATCTGTGATGGACACCCAGCATCCTTTGGTCCATCTCCTCCTGATCTCAGCTTCCAGCCCTCCTGGGTTCTGGTTAGTCCCCGCTTCTATGTTTCACAGCCATAATTTAACACAAATCAAATGTGAGATTTTAAAGTCAGAATTGTGTTCCTTCACTCTATAGGTGAAATTCACCCCTGTACAACACAGGACCTGATCACCAATTAGAACCTATTTTGGCTGGGATTGTGAAAAGACTTAAAGGGAGTTCATAGATTCCAGGGCCAGAACGGACTACTCTGATCATCCAGTCTGACCTCCTGTACAACACAGACCAGAGACCTTCCTCCAAATAGTTCCTAGACCAGATCTTTTAGAAGAACATCCACTCCTGATTTTAAAATTGTCAGTGATGGAGAATCCACCACAAACCTTGGTAAGTTGTTCCAATGGTTAATTGCCCTCTGTTGGGGCTGACCGCAAGTTACCTTGGCCTGTTGTTACAGAATGGTCTGGGTGGAGCTAGTGGTAAACTGGCTTTGATCGGCCAGACTGGCTTGCAGCCCCTCCGACTGAATAAACAAGTAAAGAGATGAAGAGTGCCTAAAAGTATTAAGTGTGGGAATAGAAAGCAATAGTGTTTCCTGCCAGAGCCTGCTTGTGGACGAATACACTCCCTGAGAAAGAGATGATGATAAAAATGGCTATGAGAATTGCTTTAGACAAACAGTCTCACCTGCAGACCTTGGCCTTGTGGGTGCCCAGGAACTCCCCACGCTGGAGCAGCGCCTGCTATGAGCCCTCAAGGACAAGGCTGGAGGGTCCGGGACTGTCCATAGCAGAAGGGGCATAAGCATTAATTCTTGCTTGCTTGGTTGCTGGAAAGCACATATTTAGTAACACGTGAAGGCTGGGAAGCTTATTATACTTTGGCAATAAAACTGGTTATACTTATACACCTGATGTGGCTTCATTGGGTGTATCTGAGACCCTCCCACCCCCTTTGGCCTGACACCCTCACTGTTAAAATTTTATGCCTTATTTCCAGTCTGAGTTTGTCTCGCTTCAACTTCCAGCCATTGGATCGTGTTAAACTTTTCTCTGCTACCAGGGAAGAATCACGGTTTCCCAGTATATGCCTAATTCTTTGTTCCTAGATGTATTCATTTACATTTAGGTGTATTAAAACCCATATTGTTTGCTTGCACCCAGTTCACCAAATTATCCAGATGGCTCTGTATCAATGAACTGTCCTCTTTATTATTTACCACTCCCTCAATTTTTGTGTCATCCTCAAACTTTATCAGTGATGACTTTATGTTTTCTCCCGGGTCATTAATAAAAATGTGAACTAGTGTAAGGGCCAAGAACTGGTCCCTGTGGGGTCCCACTGGAAACACACACATTCAGTGATGATTTAAGTGTTCAAATTCCTTTGAAAATCAAAGTTAGCCCTCTAACTCCTACTAGAATACAATGGGATTTTGGCACCTAATTCCATTAGCATCCTATGCAACATCCCCGCCTCTAAGGATTTAAAAAGTACTTTGACCTTATCCATCAGCATAGGAGTTAGTCACTCTACTGTGAGGAACATGGTATGGCCCAATAGTATTATAAATGGAGTCAGTTCAGTAAGGTTTCACCTTCTCGTCTGGGTATCTCTCATTGAATCAATTCCCTGCCATTGCAAGTGTGTTGGACATTGTAACACCTTGGTCCCTCCTCTTCTCCCATAGTTGAGTCTCCTGTGGGCTGTAATAGTTTGGTCTAATTTCAGTTGTTGGGTTTAGTGTGTTGGGGCTGGGTGGTGTTGGTCACCTGTGATATACAGGAGGTCAGATTATATAGCCTAGTGGTTCCTTCCAGTCTTAAACTCTGTGACTCTTTGACTGTATCCCCACTTGACTCTAACAATGAAGACTGAGGAGTTGGCTTTGCTGCCTAGTGCTCTGCCCAGGGTCTCCCTCACTTCCCTGTTCCTCAGGCTGTAGATGATGGGGTTCAGGAATGGGGCCACCACTGTGTACAGCACAGACACCAGCTTGTTGAGGTCAAAGGTGCCGACAGCCCTGGGCCGTGCGTACATGAAGAGGGTGGTGGCATAGAACATGGAGACCACCACCAGGTGGGAGGCACAGGTGGAGAAAGCTTTACGCTTCCCAGCCATAGGTGGGATCCTGGCCACAGTGGAGAAGATGCAGATGTAGGAGGTTCCTGTCACTAGCATGGACGTCACAAGGACAGACAGTGCTGCCATGAAGTCCAGCGTCTCAATGGTGGAAGTGTCTGTGCACGACAGCTTCAGGAGAGGCGGAAGGTCACAGAAGAAATGCTGGATGGTGTTAGCTCTGCAGAACTGTAGCCTGGAGATCATCACAATGGATGGGAAGGAAGCCAGGAAGCCAATCAGCCAGGAGCCCAGGCTCAGCACAGCACAGGCTCTGTGATTCATAAGGGCTGGGTAGCGCAGCGGATGGCAGATGGCTAAATAGCGGTCATAGGCCATTGCTGACAGGAGAAAACACTCAGAGGAAGCCAGGGACAAAAAGAAATACAGCTGAGCCATGCATCCCCCCAGAGAGATGGCCTTCTCCCCCAACAGGAGGTTGGAGAGAAGTTTGGGAACAGTCACCGAGACATAGAAGATTTCCAAGAGGGAGAGGTTGCCCAGGAAGAAATACATGGGGGTGTGAAGCTGGCAGTTCAACTTGATGGTCACAATCAGGACCAGGTTTTCCATGAGGGTCAGTATGTAGATGGTTACAAACAGCACAAAGAGCAGCCCCTGGTGCTCCGGGAGCCCTGGGAAGCCCAAGATGATGAAGTCAGTGTGTGAGGAGTGGTTTCCCTTTCTCATCTCCACAGTCTGCTTTCCACACTGCCAAAACATTAATTGGGAAAAGTGACTGAACGGAGCTTTAAGTAGGGATATGGGAGTATGTGGGGGGAAAATTCAACCCCCCCCTCCCCAAACCTCCCTAAATCCTACTTAATATTACTTATTCACCTACATCCAGAGATGCTTACTCTATGGCTACTCAGTGTTGGTTCGTTCATTCATTCATTTATTTCTAACTCCACATGTTATGTCCTTGCTTAATGTTCATTCATTTATTCTGTTAGGGTTAGTTAGGGGGAAGATCAGCTAAAAGGAAGGGAGGGGGGAACTGAAGGGAAGGAGGGATGAGCAGGATAGAGCAGGGGAAAAGATGTTAAAGGGGCCAGGTGTGGAGTGAAACTGAGGCTATGTCTGCACTACACAGCACTGGCGACAGCAGGTAGGGTATGTGTGGCTACATGCCGCAGTGCAATGAAAGCTTTGTCCACGCTGGGGTGTGTAGATGCACGGCTCAGTGAAAGACAATGGCAGGGGAAACACTTCAGCAGTGGAGAGCTGCTGGAGCCTTTCCTGGCTACATCACCCTTGGCTGAGCCGTTCCCCACTTCTGGAGTCTTTCCCTGGGGCAGGGAAAGGCTCCAGTGCTGGGGGGAGGCAGCAGGACACTACACAACTGAAAATAGCCATGTAGACAGCACTGCTTGGGCAAGTAGAGAGCTGTGTAGGGTCTGTTCTTGGACACATACAAACAGGTTTCAAGTGATTCTTTTCTCACCCAAGCCTAGGGTTGCCAATTTTGGTTGGCTGTATTCCTGGAGGTTTCATCACATGACATAATCTTTAATTCCTGGAGACTCCAGGCCAGTCCTGGAGGATTGGCAACCATGCCTCATCAACTGCATAGCTATTTACACCCATGCTAGGGGCTGCCTGCGTTTCTACCCGACACACCACCAAAAGAAGCATGCAGTGTGGACAAACCTTGAGGGGAAGAGACTGAGAGAGGGGGAGCGTTGGGGTCCTTATTCATTATCTACTTTCTTACTAGTTGTCATTTACTTATTGCTCACTTAGGTGGGATTTTCAAAGGATCCTATGGGAGTTAGGTCCTCAAGTCCCATTGACAATCAGGATCCTAATTCCCTTAGGCCCCTTAGAAAATCCCAGCCTTACTGGGCAATATTATTACTTGGGCCATATTCACACTAAAGTCAATGGGCTGACGCTTGAGATTCTTCCTCAATTCTTACCTAGCCATACTCCCAGCCAAGACTCCGCTAGTGTCTACGCTCTGCATTTTGGATAGATACAGGAAAGGGCTCAGTCGTCTGGTCTGTCACTTCTGTATTTCTCCTGAGCCCCTGCTATGCTGGGTCTGATTCTCAACCCATTGTCATGGGCTTAAACCACAAGCACAGTAGGCATGTTTCTCCTCTCAGTGTGAAAGAGGGCTAACTCTGCTGTAGGGAATGGAGTTATGCTGGGTTTGATTTGGAGGAATTTGACTGCAGTTTGAACAGCAAAAATCAGGAGTAATCCACTGTAGTAATTTGGTACTATGTAAGCGAAGAACCCAACCCACTATCAATACAATGCAAATTAATTTTTATATTTCTTGACATTGGGACTTTAAACCAGTCTAAGGGAGATCAGTTCCTATTGACCAAGTCCCCTTTGAAACTGCCAGCCCCAGCACTGAAATCACTAAACTAGATGGGATTCCTAGAACAGCCACCCAAATGCTAAGTCAAGTGTGTAGATTGATTTATTAGGCAGGTAATAGGATTCCTCTGTAATGATAATGATGTAAATCATAGCACAGTCTAGCTTAGTCAGAAAAATACTCCTTCAACTGGAGGTTCAAACATCTAAAATAGAGTCCTCAACTGGTTTAAACATCATATCCCCATTGGGAATGCTGGGTCTATTTCTCTTTAGGTACAAATTGGCACAGGTCCATGGAAGTCAATGGGGCACTCTATCTATTTATCCAAGCCCATCATGCTAGAATCCATTAAAATAACAATAACTATTTTGTTTACTTACACATTCAAGGTCTGAAGCTGGAGGATCCTTTATTTACCTAAGATGTCTCTTTCCAAAGACCCAAGCATGAGGAAGTACCCATCAATGTAGATGAGATAGTATTCAAATTGCTGCTCTGCTCCTTTCTCCGCCAAGGAGAAACACAAGCCAGAGGGCTGAATAGTGTTTCACAAGGAATTGTATCATCAGCCACAGGTCTGGCTCCTTCAGTGATTCTGGCTGGGAGTCCTAACTATATCCATGAAAATAAAGAAACCCCCAGGGATCAAACCTTCAGCCTCCCTGAACATTCTCCCAGGTGTGATTTGCTAAACAGCTTATTTGCTCATGAACCTCTCTGCTTGTTCGCTGTAGCTGTACAAGCAGGTGGTAAATGATCGAATGCCCAGATATAATAGGCTAGGCACTGAGAATAGTATCTGTGAATATCATTTTCCAGAGTGACCCATTTGTAACGCTGTCAATGACAGGCCTTGTGGTGTCTCTCTCTGGGGAGCAGAGGAACTTGTGGTGATTTCTGTGGGAACAAATTGAGATGAGGGTAGCTGGATTTTCTGTAAAACATGACCACATTTGTAAAGGTAGTCTGCAAAGGAATGTTGTATGAATGTCCCACTCATATTTTCTACTCAAAAATATATTCTATTTTAGGGGTAGGCAACCTATGGCACACGTGCCGAAGGCGGCAGCCACACGAGCTGATTTTCAGTGGCACTCACACTGCCCGGGTCTTGGCCACCAGTCCGGGGGGGCTCTGCATTTTAATTTAATTTTAAATGAAGCTTCTTAAACATTTTAAAAACCTTATTTACTTTACATACAACAATAGTTTAGTTATATATTATAGACTCATAGAAAGAGACCTTCTAAAAACGTTAACATTTATTACTGGCACATGAAACCTTAAATTAGAGTGAATAAATGAAGACACGGCACACCACTTCTGAAAGGTTGCCGACCCCTGTTCTATTTATTAAAGTTATTGCTTGCTTGATCTCTCTCTCTCTCTCTCTCTGTCTCACACACAGTATCTCTCTTTCCTCTCTCTTTCCTCTCTCATCTCAGAGACGGGGAGCGGGAGGTAATATCTTTTATTGAACGAACTTCTGGTGGTGAGAAAGAACAATTTTTGAGTTTACACAGAACTGTTCTTCAGGTCTGAAGAAGAGCACTCTGTAATCTCAAAAGTTTTTGCCTCTCCCCAGCTGAAGTTGGTCCACTAAACAATATTACCTCACCCACCTTCCCTCTCTCATATCCTGGGACCAACACGGCTACAACAGCTCTGCATATCTATCTATCATAGTTATTTTTAAAAGAGTCTAATGGAATTGGGCACTAAACTCTCACTGAATATAAATATGATTTGGGCACCCGACTTCTTTAGGCTTCTGTGAAAATATCAGCTTGTGGATCATGCTGCAAGCTGTCAGTTTTGGTAACCGGATGTTTATTTGTCTAACCTAACCTATGCATCGGGAGATTTACTAAGCACCCTAGGGGATTCAATTAGAAATCATTTTAAATACCCCATATTTACTACTTAAAATAATGTAATGAACCAGCTGGTGTGTCTGTGCACCATAGACCCCTACTGGATGGGATCAGAGCTGGTCAGCTATTGTTCATAGGCCCTACTTCAGGATCATCTAATGGCTTCTTTAGCCCAAGTGGTTGGAGCTTCTGTTTCTGGTATCCCGAGAATGAGAGTTCTAACCTCACTGTTCATGGGAGCTCCTGTGTTGGGATGCAGAATAGCAATGAAGTTCCTAGGTGGGCACAGTGTCTTCTGCAAGTCTAATTTCCTGGAGACAGTCCCAACCATCATGGGCCAAACCCTAATGTCCAAACAAAGCCCTCACTGAAACGAGTGAATCAAATTGCCAGATGGTGTAAATTGATGCAGTGTCACTGCTATCCATGACGCCACATCCTCAACTAGTGTAAATAGGTGTAGCCCAGATGAATTCAGAGGATCAGATTCCCAACTGAGGTAAATCGGCCTAACTGCATTGACATCAATGAGGCAAGATCTTGAACTAGTATAAATAGGGGTAGCACCACTGGAGGCAAGGGTCATGGTGGATTCTCCTTCACTGACCATTTTAAAATCAAGATTGGATGCCTTTCTAAAAGATTTGCACTAGACATTATTTTGAGGAAGTTCTCTGGCCAGTGCTCCACAGGAAGTCAGACTAGATGATCACAATATCCTTAGGTGGTGTGAATCAGCCTAAATCCATTAAAGTCAAGGGTCAAATCCTCCATGGAATGATGCTGATTCACACCATAGAATCATAGAATATCAGGGTTGGAAGGGACCTCAGGAGGTCATCTAGACCAACCCCCTTCTCAAAGCAGGACCAATTCCCAACTAAATCATCCCAGGAAGGGTTTTGTCAGGCCTGACCTTAAAAACCTCTAAGGAAGGAGATTCCACCACCTCCCTAGGTAACCCATTCCAGTGCTTCACCACCCTCCTAGTGAAAAAGTTTTTTCTAATATCCAACCTAAAACTCCTCCACTGCTACTTGTGACCATTACTCCTCGTTCTGTCATCTGGTACCACTGAGAACAGTCTAGATGAATCCTCTTTGGAACCCCCTTTCAGGTAGTTGAAAGCAGCTATCAAATCCCCCCTCATTCTTCTCTTCTGCAGACTAAATAATCCCAGTTCCCTCAGCCTCTCCTCATAAGTCATGTGCTCCAGCCCCCTAATCATTTCTGTTGCCCTTCGCTGGACTCTTTCCAATTTTTCCACATCCTTCTTGTAGTGTGGGGCCCCAAACTGGACACAGTACTCCAGATGAGGCCTCACCAATGTCAAATATAGGGGAATGATCACGTCCCTCGATCTGCTGGTAATGCCCCTACTTATACAGCCGAAAATGCCATTAGCCTTCTTAGCAAAAAGGGCACACTGTTGACTCATATCCAGCTTCTCGTCCACTGTAACCCCGAGGTCCTTTTCT